CCTAGTGAAGTATTTCGAGTGGGAAAACACTGCTTCCAAAGACAAACCCAGGAAGTCTCTACAATGGCCAGAAAATAAAACTGTGCAAATTAAACAAAGCAAAAAGCTCATCATTTGTCTATATTCAGTATTCTTTTGCTTTTGCCAAAAAGCAAGCAAGCTGTCACCTTAGCAACTATGTCACACTTTGCAGTACATACACCACTGTGAACAAACACCTTAAAAGCAGCACCTCCACACTATGTTCCTTTCCATAATGTTTTTTACGGCACTCTGCAGATCCCCCCTGAGCGTAACAGCCATTAAGACCCTTTGGCCAGTTGCTGGGCTGGAGAGCCAGCCAGACGGCCAAGTGCTGTTTTCCACACTGCACCCCAGGACCATAATACTACTTAACCATTTTTATTCGGTGCCAAAGGAGAAAGCGTGGTGTGAGCACTTTGCCTTCCACCACCAGCCCTGTGCAGAGCCCAGCGTTACCTGCTTTCTGCCTCTCCCCTCCTCCTGCGTCAGGAGGAGGTCCGCTCTCCCGGAGAAAAGGGGAGACTTCAGCCAGCGACCAGGAGGTCTCCTGCTCCTTGGGATCACATCTGGTGCCATGAATCCAGGTTAACTCAGGGACCACAGGATCCGAATGATGAAAGGGTTTTATCACAAGCACCTCCAAGCCTCTCCTCCCCTGACCATGACATTTGAATCCAGAGATGTCAACATGCAGGGCTTTTACCCAGAGCTCCAATTATGCTGATGCTGATTTACAGGAGTGACGGCTGAAACATCTCCCTCAAAAATTGGCAAGGAGACTCTAACCGTGTATGTCTAATGGCAGAAGCCTCTATCTCCATGCATCTTCTTGCTAGTTTGAAAGTCAGATCATTTTTGTTCTTCATTTCATAGAAACCTGGTTTGCATATATAATCAAATTTAGCATTAATGAGTCTCTCCTCATCTTCTATTCCTAATGCTTCCAACAGCCACATTTGGATAACGCCAGCAGATTCTGCCATCAAGAAGGTGGCTTGCCATGAGGAAATTTTACCAGTTTCACCCAGGGACTGCCCATGGAAGCAGTACATAACTCCAAAAATTCCCGCCTCTTGGAGCATTGTATCTCAACTATATTTGCTAATCCTACATAACTCATTTATACCAGATCCCACTCTGGACTGCTTGAGAATCATCAGGATTTAAATGAATTGTTAGGTGACCTTTTAAAATCAACTCTTCCATGATCACAATGTGAGCCTAAGTAGAAAACGGTAGTCACTTTTCAGATGAAAGATATAATTTATTTGCAATGAGGTCAGGCATTGCTGACCTTTCCTCCTTCCCTCCTTGCCTGTAAGAGCATTTGTACCATTTTAACAGCAACTTTTCGATGGGAGAAGATTAGCACGGTTCTCAGTTTCCAACAAGATACGCACACAGATAAACACGCACATGAACAGCATGCAGAACAGGCAGCTCTCTGCAGTCTGCGTAAAACCATGGGATCACAAGACAGATTTTCTGCCCTTTCACTTGTGTTCTGGGTTTTTAGTCTTTAGGGCTTCCATCCTTCTTCTGTTGCCCTGTCCTAAAAGCATATGGTTCATCAAAGCCAAAGGTTTCAGAATCACAAGACTCCCAGAAGTTGAGACTTCAAGACCACAAGGTAAAATACCATGTAGGCACTGTTATTGCTTCTGCTGCCTTTATCCCAGTCCCACTGACAGAGTAACATATGGCTTTCACATCTGTCTTCAGTGCGACTACAAAAACTTTTCAGATCTTTCCTGTCGCTCACAACAGACCCTGGTGTCTAATGGCAAAATCCACCTCCCAGTTCTTCCTAGTAAAATAATTTGTTCAACAGAGTTCCCTGCCTGCAGATTACTGATACCCTGGTATGTGTCCAGAAGCTGTAGGTCCAATGACAAAGACCGATAAAGCCTGTTTGCAGGGCTCAGGTCTCTTGGATGCTCACATCCCGCTGTTTGACTGGCAATTTTTGTCTGTACAGAGCTGCAGTGTATTTTGCATGCATTATGCTAAGCTGCCTATAAGAAATCATCCAATTAATGACAGCTTACAGAGAAGCGTTAGTTACATGGTAATTACCTTTCTAATATTAAAATACCATAGAAATGGATTTACATTTTTTGATTAAGTGGCACATGTTTTATTGGCCTGACGCTACACATACAAGACCTTTGAGGCAGTAACTGGGACCAGGTTTTCAAGAACAGCTAGGCACCTCCATCCCGAGGGAGACATAAAAAAAATTGACAATACATTTTTCACATGTGTTTGTGTATCTTACACATCAAGATGGATGGACCCAGCACTAAATGCAGCATCTGATCCTGGCATTGCATAAGCAACATCAGCAGGCAGAAAGAAATACTCTTTTTATTAAGGCTTTTATTTCAATATGAGGGCAGAGGACATCAACTTCTCAACTCTTCCAGCCCTGCATCCAAGAGGAGCACTAAGCTTCACCAAGGTTACCCTGCTCCATCACCCAAAGTCTCTGCCCACGCCAGAGTAGACAGCAGCCTTCTGGTTAAGCAAAAACCAAACACACACAAGCAAGCATGACAAAGAGTCTCAAGCAACTATAAAATATCTGAGGCCCATAATACACTATACAGAGCAAACCACTAATCACCCATGCCTCGTGCAAGCATTATCATCTTAATTTTTTTTTCATTTATTTTCAGTATCTCAAGATATCTAGGCTTTTCTAGGACATACTTGAAAGCATGCATCTACTTATGTCCATTCATATGCATGCAAATATAATCCAACAAAAGCGCTCCATGGCCAGATGAGCAATCAGCATTAGGACAAAAGATGAGACTTATTATCAGTCTTTCAAGATTCAGATTCCTTTTGCCTTCCAAATACACATCTGTTTGCAAGGCAAGGGGTGCTAACCCTTTCAGAATCCATACAATCAAAGCAAGCTTGACTCTTGCCAGGCTGGCAACAGCCTGGCCTTTTTCCTGGCCCACCAGTCAAAGGATCACACCGAGAAGGCAAGGAAGCAAAGCAAGGTTAGCTTGGTCCATGTACACACAGATTTTTCAAACCGCCTTGCAATTCTGCCTTGTCCAGTTTCCACCAGAGATGAATGGGGATTTGTCATCCAAATGCCCTGCACTGCTTTGGAAATATTTGGCACATCTCATGAAGATGCTCATGAGCAGTGATGATCTGCAGTCGTGCAAGGCCTGGGAATGTATTTTTTCAGCACAAAGGCAAGAATTAAAACAACTCCTCAGACACACGTGGGTTCATTGAACATCCGAACATCCGCTGCCAAGTTGTCCTATCAAGAAAAGCCCCAGTGTCCACAAGATTTGTCCTGCACCATCTGCCCTGATACAAGCAGCACTGGCTTAGACAGAGCTACTCGCACGGTCTTTGTGCCCAAAATACCCCCTCTGCTGTGCCCATATCGGCTTAGGCAGGGCTGCAAGCTGGCCGAGCAGGGAGCTTGTTGCACGGTATTTTACAACAACAACCTGCAGGTTAGCAGCCAGGCAATCACAGCACCTCCCAACCTGCAAAACAGTGGAGTTTCTGCATCTCTGCTATTTATCAAGGATTACAGGGAAAGGGGTTACGGACAGCACTGCAGCTCCTGTTATTTTACACGGAAACCAGGTAAGTGTCAGGTTGCTTTGGGTCTGCAGGAGGAAAGTTGTTTGTGACAAATCACAGCGAAGAAGCAGCAGAAGTTAATTAAAAACCTCAGCCTAGTGATACAAAGTTTCCATTTTTACAAAAATATTTTTGCAGGTAGCCACCTGCATGAGGTTGTTCATATCCCCATCACACTGCCATGTGCGGAGCCCCCTTTTCACTTCATTTGCTTCTGTAGGGCTCCAGAGAGGCAACGACTGCAAAACAGATAGACCCCAGCTGACAAACTTGCTTGTCTTGCTCACTTTTTGCGGACCCCATTAAAAGCAGTCTAAACATATCCAGAGATTCACAGGACTGAAATTAATCCAGGGAGATGAATGAACATATTTCTTCTCTTTCATCTTTCCTTATTCATTATTGTCAGGTGCGCGCATAGGAGAGTCATTTTTCAAGTGAAGCTGTAAAAGCGTTTGTGACATTGCAACTGGTTGTAGTGCCACAGTAGATTATCATGAGAAATAAGCTTCAGAAAGACACCCTCTTCTCATACAAAGATCTGTGGAGTAACAGCCAGGGGAATAAAGAGGAGCAAGAACAAACAAGGCTTTTAAACAGCTTTTCCCTGCCCCCAGCACATGCTGTGAAGCAAGAGTTGACTCAAAGCTGCAAACGTCCAGGGCCTATCTTGTATAGCTGTGTGCGGTTTTTCCAAGCCCGGATTTGTGACCCACATACTCCAAGTACACAATCTATTACCAAGGTAGAGTTAAAAAAATGCAACTCTTGCTTAATTGCTACAAGTTACTTTTTTTTTTTTTTCCTTCTTTTTCTTAACCTTTCCTGGGCCTGAGCCAACGTTGTCTCTTAAGGGCTTCTGAATGCAGTTTCTTGGCTGAAAATAAAATTACAAAGTACACGGGAAATACAAATGAAAACATGTTACAGTGCTGTGAATATTCAGAAGAATCAGTCTTATCTCAGCATCTTCTCTCTGGGTGTTAGGTGACAGTGAAAGTAGAAGATCGAAGGTCAGATAAAGTCCCTGCTCCTTGAGACATAGGTCCACGTCTGAGCCAGACTACAGGTAAGCTGGAATTTGCACACCTATAGATTGCTTCTGCAACAGTTAGTTTCACACCCAGGAAACCTACAGCCACCTCAGTTCTCTCCAGACTTGCAAATGTTTCCGCTTGTTAATACACAAATTTCAGCAGCACTGTCGTACAAGAGGTTTATTAATAAAGACGTGCTGACCCCCGAGCCACCGTGGGCCTACCCAAATTCCCCAGAAGATGAGAGTGCCAACTCAAGGCTGGACTGCCTGGACCAGCTGAGGACATTTTCGGTCTACACCATCTCCACCCTACCAGCCTTTCGGAGGAACCCCCGTACCTCTGCCATCTGTGCTGCAACACCACAAAGCCTCCCCCCGAGCACGAGAGCCACCCAACGCCCAGAATCGCTGCGTCACCAGCTGGGCTATGAACTTTATTTCTTTGCAGATGCAATCTAGGACTCCAGTGGGAGGTGTTAAGAGGTGCCATGAGTAGCATATCGGCTACAGTACAGAAACAACGGGGCAGAAATGCCAGTTCTCCCCTCCTTAGACTGCAGAAAGGGCTTTCCCCACCTCTGTGTCCTACCTGCTTGCTTTTCACACTAGAAAGCCAAAACTTGGCTTTCTGGGAAATATGCATTAAAAAAAGTGTAAGTTTTCTAAAAGCAGAAGTTAACACCTCCCTTTTAGATGACAAATAACCCAACAGAAGACAACATTAAAATTACTTGCACTTGCTTTCCCAAATCCTGAAACTCTGTAAAACTGGGTGTTATGATTCAGCTGCCACATCACTCACATGACACCGGTCACACCCTCTGACAGGTGATTACTCTAAAGCTCCCAAAAACTCATCAGCATTAACAAGAGCAGGTTTAATAAATTCCACTGTCACCAGCACTTTTTGCATAAAAAAACCTCCACTCGCACATCATTTAACACCTGAAATGAAACAGCTGTAAATCCAGCAATTAGCGGTATAATTTGACTGTTCTGATCAAGCATACTGAGGGCTGCGAGGCTGCCGGGGAATGTGGAAGCGGCTGCAGAATCAACTGGAGCATTTGGTCATTTTTTTGAAGTTTAAAATGATAATTAGGCTGATGAAAAGAATCTGAGGGAGACGGACACTTACTTGAGACTGGAGATGGCAGAGCGAGGTGGATAGCAGTTGGTAGGCATAGTGAGAGGATAAGGAAGATGGGAACAACAAGAGGAAGTGAATAGAGCTGGAATTCAGGTAATCCAAAAAGCCTTTCAAGTATATTAAAAAAAAAAAAAAAAAGTCTTCCACACTCTGAGGTATCACACACTAAAATGTGCTTAATTCTACTTACACATACATGTCAAAAGGGGAAAAAGTAATTTCTCAGACCATCTTAAATGTTAACACACTCTGCACCCTTCTGCCACATTCCCTTATCACCAAGGACTGATACACCTCAGCCACGTCAGAAGAGCTCTGTTTACATACAGCCGCATGTGCATTTATATATATACACCCAGGCAACGTGCAGATAGAGCGGCCAGAAGAGTTCTACATGTGGCTTTCAACCATGACAAAGGCAGCTTTTATATTCGGCTGTTGGAAGAAGTTACAGACCGAGGAAACTGCCAAGAGAAAAGAGTTCCCACTTGTTGTCCCGAGGACGCCAACGCACCGAGGGGAGAACAGCCCGTGCCCCCCCAGCCCGGAGCCCTTCCCGGAGGAGCTCGCTTCCCAACCACCACCACCACCAGACACAACTACACTGGGCAGATAGTCAAAAGACCACGCTCCCAGCAGTGATTTGCCATAGAAATAGCTTTCCTCCCCATTCTTCTGCTCCGCACCGAGCGCCGCAGAGGGGTTGAAGCACCCCCGGACCGGTGTCTGGGGTTCAACCCCTGAACATCCCAATTTCTCCTCGAGGTGGGAGCAGCAGCGCCGGGTGGGTTTGCAGAAGCTCTGGGCAAGGAACACGAGGGACTTTGGCCATTCTCAACGCGCGGGTCACCCTGCCGCGGGGCCACCTCGTCCCAAGCCCATGGCACCGCCACATCCCCATCACCCAGCTCTGCAAGACCTGATGTTTTGAGGTTCCCAGTGGAGAAAAGCTGCTGACCACGGGCAGGGACGGGGTCCGGGGCGAGCAGCTGCCCCCAGCACGCCAAAACAGCCCCTCGCCAACACCCCGCGGCCGGGCTGCGCGCGGCGGGTGCGAACATGTGGCTAAACGCACCCGCACGGGGACGTGCCCCCCAAAATACGTGGCTTACATAATTCCCCAGCCAGTCGGCGTTAGGGGAATGTGATTAATCCTCCATGACATGTTCTGAACTTTCCGTTCAGAGAGGCTCTCTCCTCCCGCAGACCTACTGGCGATGAATGTCATTTGACCTGCAGACTTCACTACGAATGAGCATCAGAGCAACAAACAGTGACATTGCTCTGCAAACCAATTATCTGCCTCCTTCCCCGCTCGGCCCAGAGACAAGTTTGCTAAATGCATAATGAGGATTTTTCGGGTTTTTTTCTTTTTTAAAAAAAAAAAAAAAAATCGTTTACATCCAACACGGGGGGAGGCACCCACAAACCCAGCCCCCAGCCCCCCCCGCCGGCCACATCGCTGTAGGATGAGAGTCCCCAGCCCCTGTGCGTCCCCCCCCACCCGCGTCCCCCGTCCCAGCTCCGGCTCCGGCTCCCACCTGTTCCGCGGGGCGCAGCGCCGTGCGCGCCCTTTAGGGACACCCCAACCCTCCCATCCCCGCGGCCCAAACCTCTACCCGACCCCCCCCCCCCGGGGGGGACTCCCCCACTCGAGCCCCCTGAGGAAGGCCAGCGGCTCCTTCACCACGCGGAAAGTGCCCGCGGAGGCGAGCTGCGGGCAGAGAAGAAGGAGTCAGACCCCCCCGCTCCTGCTCCGCGCTTTCTCCCAACCCGCCTCGCCCGGGTTCCCCCGTACCTGGTCCACCGCCTCCATGTCGCCGCAGCCCCGCGGAGCCGAGCGGTGCGGAGCGGAGCGGTGCGGAG